CTGGTATTGGGAGTAAAGGTCTGTGCTGGAGTGAGAGGTTGGGAATCGAGCGGGGGTTGTTGGGAAATTGGGGGCCGAGGGATTTGATTGATGAACGGACATTGCTGGGCGTGGGAGAGAGGAATCAAGTATTTGGCCTATCACGATGTCCGTTTAGTGATTGTCTGCAAAGACTTTGTGAGATGGGGACCGGGGACATTAGGTTTACCTAGCGTTGATACAGGGTTTGTCAAGGAAGCCTGTGATTGCGATGATGGCCGTATTGCTGGAGTAGATGAGAGCGAGGCATATCTTTCGATTCTAGTGCAAAACGCATTCTCAGTGACCAAGTTTTCATCAAAAATAAACAGGAGATGTTAAAGGAAAGGAAAAAAGTACTTACAATGACAACTCTCCCAGCAATGTTTCATGCCTGAATTGCTCGCGAATATCCGGCACATTACTCTTCGCCATATTGTTACCTTCAACCCCAGGTCGGTGGCATGTCGGCCCTAACCATCGATGCTTGAGCGAGAGTTCGAATCCGCATTGGTCAACGGAATGCTTTGCCAATTCACACATGTCCACAGCGCTAAATTTGTATATCTGTGCGGCAACAGCATATTCCTCAATCAGCGGCTCCTTGGTGAAAGCAAACTGCAGAGGATCATCAGTCGACAAGGAAATGTTCAAACCCCGCCTGAAAAAGCTCGCGCATGGATTCTTATCGTAAGTCAGGAACAGAGCATTGTTACTCAAAGGCGACATCGCAATACCAATTTGATCCAGATAAAACAGGTACTGAAGTAACGGCACTTTGCGCAGTAGGATACCATGGCTTATACCATAGCAGCAGAGCACTGCAGCAGCTAAATGATCCGGATCGCCGGCTTCGCCACAGTGAGGCCGCAAAACAAAAGTGTTGAAGCCCCGATTTTTTCGCCAAGTGTTCAATGACACCATGTTGGCGAACATAAAATAGATCCAGTAGCTGTAAGGTGGGTTCTGATTGGTATTCCACTGCTTTGGAATTGGGAATTTGCGGTACAATCGACGCTCCGGTTTGCTTTCATCATCAACGCTATCGAAACCAACCACGCGTTGTAAAAAGATATGAAGCTTTGGATGAGTTGATGGATCTTTCGTCACCTCGAACAAGGGCTGGTATACATTTCTGATAACTTCCTCGAAGTTTTCCATCATACCAGTAGACTTGTAGACATCATACAGCCGAGGGACTTGAATCAGCCAGCGGATATTTGGAGAAAATAGCTTGTTGTCAACTACCCAAACGGCTAGTTTGTCCCATTCATCCAGGGATCTGCCATAAATGGATATACGCCACTCAGCCATCTGGTATTTGCTGGATTCCAGATCTGAGATTACTTCTTTAGTGATCTCCGCGAGATATCGTCCCTTAATGAAGTTGTCGGTTTTGAGGAAAATTTCTCGAAGGCGCGACTCTCCAACAGGGTTGTATTTTAGGTTGAATTTGTCAAATCGGTGGAACGAATCTTTATGAGCCTATCATGTGGAACTGCGATGAGAATTGATCTTTACGCATGTAGAATGGGAGGAAATAAACTTACGTGCATGTCGAGAGTATCAATGCTGAGGTCGTACGCCGTGAGGTTGATACTTTCGAACACCTCCTTCAATGTCAAGTGCTTGCCATCTCTAAACATGACGACCTCATCGGGAGACTTTTTGATCTTACTCTTAATAAATCGCAGAAGATGTTTCTGGTTCATGCAAGCGGAGTGGTGGACGTGCGTATCAACTTTCCTAACATTGTAAAAGTCCCTATGGGGTACCTTTTTGCTATCTGCCATCTCTTGGTACTCGTTGAGGAGCACATGAAGCTGGAATTTGCCTTCCAGGTAGCTTAGTCGCTTGAAAGCAAAGCTCTTACTAGGGCCGTCAGTGGACACCTCAGTGATCGTATCCAAATCCATGTAAAATTCTCGAAGGGACGGGACATGAACTATAGGTTGTTTCAGCTTGCAAGCTTCTTCATTCTCGTAAACCTGATAGACACTGTTTGCGTCAAGTTCAAATGTCATTGGAGACGCTCCAGGGACTGGCAACAGATCCTCCAAGTAAAAATCCTCACCAATATCCTGGCCAAGTTTTCGCTTCCTTCGGGCAGGAGATGGGGGAACAGCATCACTTGAGGAATTAATTCCAGTTCGCTGGGCTCCACTGATCACCATACTATTCGACATGCTCCCGGTCCCAGGAGGATACATGTCGTCATCCCATGCCGGCTCGGGTGGAGGAGGGTATATAGTCCAGCCCGGCTCATCTCGTGGATTATCTGACATTCTCTGCAATGAGAGTCGAATATACCTCCGCCTCATATCCAGAAGGAGTTGGATCCTCTGGCAAATAATGCGCAGTTCAGTTGTGATTGCATCGTCGTTGGTCACAAACACGCCGGATCCTTCAGAGGCACCAACGCCAGTCCCAAAAGTCCCCTCAAGAGAAGGTAGTTGTGACTTGGGTTCATTGGATGTCGAGGCTTGCGGGCTAAAATTTCGAGCAGATCGGTCCAGAGTCGCAAAACCACCGGAGGTTTTGCGCTGCAGAGGTGAAGGAGGTTGGGGTCTTATAACAGGACTGTACCCAGAGCGCGTATCCGGAACAGGGTGCTGACCTTGTGCCAATGGCACATTCCCTTGGCTACTCATACGCGATGCTATACTTGCGGGCCTACTTGAAAATTCACCTTCCCCAGCCGGCATGTTAGGCACGGTCGTTGATGGGTAAGACATAGTCGCGCTCTGGGGAAATTCGCCATCCGCATATTTGGACCCGAGTTGATGTCGCTGGTAGAATAGTTTCGACTCCGCATGGCTCAGAGACTTTTCGTACGCATAGTCATACGTGGCTGTCCTCCGCTGCCAGTCGCGGGGAAGCATAGTTTGTGCCACATTGGCGGACAATGAACTGTCATCACGCACCCCGTCCATCTCTTCGTCTATGTGATGGTTCTCCGGTAAATTGAATTCTTCATTGGGATCAAGGCTTCTTTGGGTACCGTCTTCGGTATTAGATCCGCCGCCATTCGGGTGACGGACAGGGAGTTCGGCACGATCGCGCGCTGGTGGCTCAGGATAATCAGAAAGCGCAGACTGTGGCCTGCGTTGTTGAGACATAAACTCAAGAAATGGGTTGGATCTAAAACAACAATGTCAGCGTTTGAATGCCAGACCGTGGACGTTGAGGTAAGGAAGGAAGCTCACCTAGCGAATGAGTCGCGGTGGAGAAGCACGACCGAACGCCAAGACAACAATGCAACAATGCTAAGAAGAGAACTAAGAGCAAAACCTACAAGCTTAAGTAGCCAGAATCGGAGACACCAAGAATTTAAAGGAAAAGGAGGGTGAAAGTGGCTCCGTGGCGAGGACGAGATGTCCCGTTGACGAAAGACGAAAGGTGCGGTGTAAGTTACGCAGCAACTAAATGACAGGGCAGAGAGTTTCCACAGGCTCCAGACCCCAGCTCCTTGCATATGCATCTTCAGAGCCAGAATGTTGGGAGAGCTGTTGAATACTGGTAACATATCAACATGCACTATATTACAATATTATATGATATGCCAGTTTAAAATTTAAACTTATCAGCACGTTGTTGAGTTATTGTCTGTATCATTAAGTACTTCTGCTCATAGATTACAGAAATCAGGTCTTCTCAGTAGAAAGTGGGAAAGGGCAGCTACCAGTTAGTAGGAACATAAATACAACTCATATAGATCTATGCGAGAAAATCTTTCAATCTTTACACATCATACGATGTGACTTTCTAGAAAAGCAAATGCCTTAAAAATTATACATCTAGTAGGGGATTGTGAATTACCACTTTATAAATTTATATTGGTAGTTGAGGTATGGATGTCAAATCTTTGGAAATTTATACAGGAGTGGAGGCGTGTTAACTACTTCCCCATGAAACGTGTCTAAAGAGATCATAGCGACTGACTTTTCCACAAAACTTGCTCCAAATATTTATTTACTTCACAAGATAATGTATAAACCAATTAAAATTCAAGCATGCATAGTAGCACAATCTAATATTACAAGAGATTCGAAGAATAAACAGTATGACAACAGGCACAGTACATGAAAGGGTTGAACATAAGGTGTATACAGAGCTAAGAAAGACGCAGGCGACAATTGAAACGACGACATGGGCTCATCCAATGTAACAAAATAAGAGGCCGCTTTTCCCCTTTTTGTTACAGGATATGCACACAGAAACTCGTGAAACAAAACAGGCCGGAAATATATATATATATATATATTTATTTATATATATTTCCCAGAATATGGGGGGTTTGGCCCCAGTTTGACGTCCGGTTCGTACTTGAACATGGCTTGGTGAACTGGGATGAAAATGCCCGCTTTTGTTGTTTTGCGAATTGAAAAAACCTGGAAGGGATGGGGTAAAAATGAAATAAAAGAAATCTCGGGATTTCCGCAGATAAATATTTCACGAATAAGGCGGCGAGGAAGAAGACATAGGCGTGGCAGGAAAACTTTACCCCAAATAACTTAGAAATACCTAAGCAGAATCAGGAGATACCCGATCACAAAGCCTAAAAGCTCAAACGGTTCAGACCGGAAGTTTCCAAACAAGATGATAATCTTCCAGAGAGGGTAGTGGAAGAGTATGGGGACGGATAATCAGGGAAAATAAAAGTAATAAAGTAACAACGAAAAAGCAAAATTAAAGAAAAGTAACAATGGAGACGAAAGAATTCCTCCTTGCTGTATGAAAGGAAAATGATTTTCTTTGAATTGATTGAGCACTGCAGTAATTTTACTGGCAGAGAAAGAGAGAAAAAGATAAGGAAAAATAAGAAGAAAAAATCCGTCGATGGGTGTGTTAGAAAACACGCGGCGATTGTTATGTTAGCCTCAGCAAAACCGATCCTCACCTGAAGTCAACACGAATATAGCATCATGAACATGCTAATTAAAAAGAGTATATCCGAAAGACTCAACAAAACAGTCATCTTGTTAACGATATCGGGGATGGCGAGGTACTGTGTTTGAAGAGGCAGACTCCCCGGGGTAATACTGGTTGTGGGGTTCCATTAACCCAGGTTGGCGCGGGTAGTCCACTTCGTAGTCGACATATTCCTTCGGTACTTCTCGCTGTACGGACCGTTCTATGTAATATGCACCAGTGTTTTTGTGCTCACGCCCACCAACCCTAACAGGAATATATTCTACAGCACCGTCGTAGGGTGGTTCCACATATCGCTGTTCTTCTACATACTGATAAGTTCCACGAGGGTGCAGACGAGCGTACGCCACGTTTTGGTCTGCTGCGGCTCTGTCAAAGTATGGATCCGAAGCGTGGCCAGCATAGACGGGGCGTTGCCGAGTTCTGGGTGGTATAGGGCTACGATCACGGTAGTACGTAGATTCAACGGGAAGTGAATCACGGGCAATTGGTGAACGGGAACGTGGGCGGTGAGAACCTTGTCTTTGCGCTTCATATCTGTCGAACCTGCTGTGAGGTCGTCTCGCATGGTAATCAGACTGGTGCCTTGATTCTGAGAAACTTATGCCTTTCCTTCCATGACGAACGTCGGTAGGCTCCGGAGACCGCTCCTCGCCGTGCCTAGATGAAGCATAATGTTCACGCTTGGGTTCATATTCACGAAAGCCTTCAATTGTAGGGCTTGTGGCCCTATTCCAACTGTGTTGTTTGCTACGAGTAGGAGTTCCTGAAACACTGCTTTCAGCTGTCCCTCCAGAGCCTCCATCAATGCGCCAACGGCGGTCATTAAGTTCCGTTCCCTCAAGCCACTTGCTTCGAGGGGCTTCATCTGGCCTACGTTCAGAACCCCGAGACGGCACCTTCTTGAATTCTTCGTTTTCTTGGCCAGGAACGAAGCTGCTCAAGAATCGTTCCGCATCTGTCATTTCTTCGTGCAACGAGATTCCTGCCGCAAGGCAATGCTCTTGTGGATGACCTGCTTCCTCCACTTCGCCATCCTCTGAAACGCTCTTCACAGGCGTTCTATTTTTGTGGAATTCGTTGGATGACTCGGCAGTTACAGAGGAATTGGCATGGATAGACTTGGGCGGGCGATCTCTATATTGAGAGGATGGTTTTGACGAGGACTTAGATATATTGTGTTGATGCCGATCGGCATAAGGATTGCTTTTCGCTCGATCCACGTCACTAGGCTGACTTCGCTGAAATTTTGTTCCAGGAGGATACCTGTTCCCATGAGTCTGATCTTGAGCGCGCGGATTGTGGGGCCTCTCCTTGGAAGAAATCGTGGATGGTTGATTTTGCCTTGGTCTGCGAGTATCCACTCGACCATGCTGATCTCTTATTGGTTCAACGAAGGCAGGCTTATGGGGGTCATATTCGTCGTCCTTCGGCGGATCCGCGGGTTTATTATTGTCTGTAACAGGAGATTCCACAAATCTAGGGAAGTCATCTACCGCAACCTCTAGACCATGATTTGGGTGAGGCAAATTCGGATTGGTACCAGTTGTATTCTGTTCCGCAAATTTGGAGCGAGCATTTGTGGTGTATGCGCGATTAGGTTGTTTGGAGTCGCGCGGTTCAGGCCGTCTCTTACCACTCACGTTTGAAGCTGGTGTATGGTTCGTCGATGTAACATGTGGGAACACCCAAGGGAAAGCTGCCGACACCAGCTGCATTTTGGTGTCGTCCATACCAGGAGCATCGACCAATTCTGAAACGGTTTGGTTGTCAGGAACGAGTAGCATGTCGTATTGCCATTCCAGCCGCCGTGGCTCTGGGCGAGGATGTGGAGCAATTGACTTCGGACGGTCAAGATGCATGGATTGGAAATGACTAACTAAAGCCGGAAGAGTATATATCTTGCGGTCGGTACGACCTACATCGTGGCGATGGTGTCTTCCAGAAATCTCAGCGTCATTGCAAGCTTTGCATACCAATCCGCTGAGATTTTTTATTGGTTTCATTTGAGCATGACTGCTTAACCCGTCGGCGAAAAGGGTCAATGGAGGTTCGTTGCCAAACCTTTCCACGAACCGAGAAACAACATGGTGGATAAGGACATGAGCGCGAACATTGTGTGGCAAATCTTTGATACCAGATGTTCCATTCCAGATGCTGCGAGCATTCTTAGCTATATCATCGAGTTGGGTCTGGTAAATGCCAAAGGCTTGACTGTTGGGGTTTGAATTGTGCCCCTGGGTTCCGCTTCTTCTCGTTGGATGGGAGTTAGCAGGATATGGAGCACCAAAAGGCGGTTGTCCAGCAGCTGGAGGTGGGTATGGGGGTGGCTGGTACGGTTGAGCTGCTCTTGAATCAGGAGGTGGCGGGTACGGTGGCGGATAAGCCTGCCCCGGATAGGGCGAGCCGTAAACTGGATTCGGAGCCTGAGGTGGGCCATATGGATCGTAAGCTCCGCTAGGGGGATAGCCAGGTTGGGGTGCTGAATACGCAAAATTTGCAGACTGGTTAGGATAAAATGGAGGAGGAGGAGGGGATGGTGGTCTGTATGGACCGGATCCATAAGCATATGGAGTTCCAAATGGGGTACGACTGTAAGGTCCAGGCGAAGGCTGCGGGTAACCTGGCCCTCCGTCTGGTAGATGGTGGTGTCCCTGATCTGGACCAGACATATACATGGGGCCATGCGGCTGGTTGGGGTAACCAAGGTTATGCCCCACGATTGGGCGGGGCATTGCAAAGAACAGAGCTTTAGCGGCAGTGGGATTGGGATGGAAGGGGGAATGTTCAGGCCACTCAGCGCGCCAATGAACAACGACGCTGCCCAAACTGAGAACATTAGTGTGTTTGGCAGCATAATGCTGGATCACACCCTCGAAACCGTAAAACTTGGTATTTGCTTCGCAGCCGTTTCCATTGCACAAGAATAGTTCTTTCTGAAATTGTTCTGTCAGTGGTTTTATCTTGGTATCAAAAATGAACTTCATGTTTTCGAGTATGAGTTTTCGGGTCGGCGGAGCTCCGGGCGGATCCTCCGGAATGGGTTTTCCGGCGTTGCGAGCTTTGGCATCCTCTTGCGCCAAGTCCCTGTAGAACTTGTCCTTGACATAAATCAAGACATCAGCCGCAAATTTCGCACTTTTTTCTTTGGTAACCGCATCCCCGCCACGCCATCCTTCGCGGATTATTTCATCAGCATATAATGCCATACGCTCTCGTATAGGCTTCTGAGCCTCATCCCATTCTCTGTCTAGCTGCTCTTTAGCCTCTTTGAATTGAGCATCTTGCTGCCGACGCTCCTCGGACTTTGCCTGAAAAATCTGATCTTGCTTTACCCTTTCGAGTTCTCGACGTTCCGCAACATCCCGCTGTGACAGTAAACGAGGTTTCAAAATATCCCAGTCACGGTCAGTAAACGGGTGAGGAATTTGGATTGCAGCCGAGAACGAATCCATGTGGCTGAGAACAGCTGGTGTCAATGGGGGAACAAGATCCAAGCAACGCCGCTCTATTTCAGCTTTACGGCTTGCTTTCGCTTCATTTACTTCTCGAAGGCTACGTTCAGTGCGCGGGTGATGTGCAGAACTTGAGGAGGGTAAAGGTTGGCTTGAATCGCGACTCAAAGGACGTAGAGGAAGTTTGGAGCCTACAAGTATAATTTGGTATAAGCGTGAAGACACATAAAAGGCAAGGCACGAGGGCGAGAAAAGAAAAGGAACATAACTGAAAAAACATGAAACCAAACAACATTGTGCAGGGAATTTAAGTGCGCCGCAGGTTTTCAATACTTACCAGAAGTACTTGAAACTGTCGCTGGACTGCCCTGGTCGTCGGTAGCTCGACCATTGGTGAGTGGAGAAGAATGTTCGGAATGTCCAAAGGTTGTATCAATAGCCTCATTTTTTGCACCCGAATCCGCAGAAGATACCTGCAAAGGGGCTCCGTTTAGGGTTCCACGGGTAAGCCTAATGGATCGAATACCGCCTGATGCTTCCCATTGTTCCCAACGGGCAGCATCGGCGAGTTTGTCCTTGCCATTGCATTCCAGGCCCTTAATCCACTCTTCTGTGGCGGCAGGGCCAAGTAATTTAACGTCCTCAAACTTACGTCTCATGTCATCAACATGGGCTTTGTAAAAATATTTAGTCAGTGAAATGTCGCCTGGGGGCTGATTGTTGCGCAAAATTACTGAGGAAATAAAATGCATCGAAGAGGTAAAGAACGCGAAAGGGAGTGATGGAATTAGCATAGATGGGAGATTAGAAGAGAACAAAAGGTCCATTTCCTAAGTATCGAGTTAGTTCGCTGATCAAAATCAAGAAAGGGTGTAAGATAGAGAAACCTTTTGAGATTCGACTTGTACGCATTCTCCACAGGATCGAATACCGAAGGGCCAGATAATGCGGACTCCATCAAGACCAGGGCCGGCTTCCCATATTGTGCTATCCATTGAGGATGAACAAGAACTGAGCTTTCCGCAAAACTGGCAATTGCTTCCATAGATAAGCTTCCACATTTCTAACTCTGTCTGAAGAGACATTGGACGTGGCATTCCCGGGTGGAACGCTCTGCGAGAAATAGACCAAATGGAATTAGGGTTTAAATATTTCAACAATCCTGATGCTTGAGGAAAACTCGATAACTCTGTCTCACTTGGGGTGAGAAGGGACCTGAATGTCCGGTTTACACACAAAAGTTTACCTAGTGAGGTAGGAGGAAGAAATGTAAAGATATGCTGCCATATTTCTCCAGGGAGTATAGATCCAAAGGACACTGTTCCCGAAGCGTGGATCTCCTCCGTGGGAGGGGAATATGGCCCATTCACTTCGATGGATTTCACACGTTTGAAACTGGCCTGAGGAATTGCTGCTGCATTTGACTCGCGAGAGAGGGCCAGACTAGGCATACCATCGCGTCTCTCAGAATATTCGCTAGAACCGGGGGACTTATCCAAGTCACTTGTCGGCCGCTTTCGTTTCCGAACCTTCTTGACTTGGGCATTATAATTATTGGCTTTTTGACCAGGAAAGTGACGAGATATCGGGCTTTGTAGATTAGAGGCATGACCAATCGTCACACCAGCCTCTGGAGGGTGTTGCTGAAAACTAGCGGTATTCATATCAAATGCTGAACCATTGGATTGCTGATGAGAATGGGTTTTCTCCATGGTGACATCGGACGTGTAAGGATCAAACGGAGAGCCGCCATTATCGGGCGATGAAGTAGTTTCTGGCATGGTTCCCGGGCAACACCCACAGTTGCAGGTACGATTTGCAAAACAAAAAGAAAGCGAAGAGGGATCAAAATTAATCACACTCCAAGGTGGGTATGTCCTTGAACGAGGAGTGGAAAGGTAGAAAGACAGAGACTCAGCAGTGGATCAAGCGGACACAACAAAAGATGAGGTCCATTTGGATTCACCGGAGCCGAAAAATGATAACAGGAAAGACCGGTCCGAGTAAATGCGTTCGATGGTCCAAGGACACTTGGATCAATGCTCCTTGGGAGGTGGTTAGCCAGAGGGGAGCAAGGGGAATTGAAAACACAAGATGGCAAAACCAGGCACCGCTATGAAGGAGAGACAGTGAAACACTACTCCGTAAAGAGGATGAAAATGCAAGACAAGAAAAGAAAGATCCCAAAGAGCCACAAAGTCGGCACCCAGGCTTCAAGGAATAAAATGCAACAAGGGAGGAGATCACAGCTCGAACGATGACGAGATGCAGCTCCCTAACATACACAGCGATGAAAAGATAAGTCAGGAGAGCGAGAACGAGAAGAGAATTGCATTGGAAGTTGTCTTTGGAGAGGAGCACAGAAACAAATCAGGCCAGATCGCGCAAGAGTAACGTTGCAGCGAGGAAACCAGAATCAGCAAGATATGTAGCTGGCAGCCACGCTACACATACACTTGGAAACAGGATATTCAGGAAAAATAATGACAAATACGGATATTGCGCGTGGTGCATGATAGGAGATGGTAGCTGGAATGGACTCATTGCGGCACGTTGTTGTTGATGGCGATGGAGGTTGGGAAAAATATCAGGACCAGCTCGGAGCGGGGTTTGTCCGACCACGCCTCACTCTTACACCCAATCAAGACGGGCGTCGGGTGTGCCCAGCAAATTATCACGTGTATTCCACTGGTGCAGCTCGCTGCGCCACTCACATACAGAGACATTAGTTACATCAGCCTCTCCACAACTGTCTTACTCAGCGGTGTGGCTCAGCTAGTTCCCACTCGCCAAAACCTTCAGGAAACGCAACAGGAAGAAACACACCTGGGAAACAAGAGGATATCCAAATTGGACTGATTGTTTCAATATCTAGGCCCAGGCAGTTTGATATCTGTAACCATTCTGTTTTTTTTTTTTTTTTTTTTTTCACTGCTGTTCGTCATTCACCTGCCCATCCACCGCAGCTTTTCTCCAACCACTTGAGGCATTCCCTTTCTTTACCTTTACTCCGTATCCCAAGTGGAACAACGCCCATTTTTACTCCCAGCCATCAGTTGAGGAGGGACTGCACTGAACTACTTGGTTGGAATTCCGAGACATAGGTGGTTAGTAGCTCCTATACCACATGGTTGATTCCTTCATACCCGAAAGCAAACTTGTGAAGAGTTCCCAAGGCAGCCATTTCTCATAGGTGTCCCTGGGGAGCCGGCGCATTAAAGTTGATTCAATATCATTGGCTTGACCACAGTCTAAAGCACCTTTGCTGCTGGCAATTATTTGTTTAATCCTTTTTATCCTCTTTCCGGGTTCTCACCGGATACCTTCGCTCCTCACACCCACCTCACCATGTGCGACCCTAAACCTGTCCACCAATGGACCATCAATCTCGAAAAGTTACCGTGCAGTGGTAGAGGCTTCAGCTCCAACCGGACCAGCTGCTGCTTCACCAACATATGGGCAATGGGCGGTATTTGTGGTATCAACACCTCTGGTCAATGCATTCCAGCAAGATAGTGCAGGGAAGGAAAGCGTCTTAAAAGTCCAAAGCAGCGGAGGTATACTATTGTCCCATCCGTGGAACCAGCTACGGGAATCCAAAACACGGCTAACCGATTCGAACAGAAGGGGAACTTGAAGATCTTATCGAGGATTTTTCCGACGGCAGGGTACAGTTTGCGTATGTGAAAGTTAAAGATCCAAACACTGGTCTACCTAAAAATGTCCTGATTGGCTGGTGCGGCGAGGGAGTCCCGGAGAGAACAAAAGGTTATTTTACAAGTCATCTGGCTGCTGTTTCTAAGCTCTTACATGTGTGTTCTATCACCATTGCCGGCCGGTTGTACCTATAAAATACTGACAAACTATAGGGATACCATGTTCAAATTACTGCTCGCTCGGACCGGGATCTTACTCCCGAGAGCATTGTACAAAAAATTGCCGACTCCTCTGGATCAAAATACTCTGCAGGAGATGCCGCAGTACCCACGAAACCCGGTCCCAAGCCGACCGTCGCATCAAAGCCAGTTTTTACTCCTTCTCGGTCTGGCGGCGCTTTCAAGCCTTTGGCTGGAACACACCGAACGGCAGCACGTGCCCAGGAAGATGTCGATGACGATGGCTGGGGAGCAGATGCGCCGCCGGTTACAAGAACTCAGCTTGAAAAGGTCAAACCTGCATATCAGCCAACGAAGGTAAACATGCAGGAAATCATGTCGCAGAAGCCGAGCGTATCAAAGTTCGAGCATCGCCCCACGGATGAAAATCCTTCGAGCGCCGTTATAAAAGGAACTTACCAACCAGTTGGAAAAGTTGATATTGCTGCCATCCGTCGACAAGCTCGTGAATCCGGTCAGTCACACGATGACCGTCCCGAACCGGTAAAAGGTGCCTACGAACCAGTTGGAAAGGTAGATATTGCCGCGATTAGAGCAAGAGCACAGGGGCCATCAGATGGCTCTCAAGCATCACCTAGGAATCTGTCTCCCGCAATAACGGGGGGTTCAGGAGGTAGTGAGGAACGAAGAACCCTTGCGGAACGGTCTGCTGCATTCTCATCTTCGGATCGGCTGACGACTCTTCCCAAACCGAAAGTTGCCAATAAATTTTCGGGCGCTTCTACTTTTACTGGTACAAAAGCTCCAGTTCCTGGAGGATTTGGCGTAGCTCCAACCACAAACGCTACTACAATGTCCGGTGCAAGCCGGACATTTGCTGACCAAGGGGGTAAAACACCAGCGCAGCTCTGGGCTGAAAAGAAAGCTCGGGAGAGAGGCAGTGCAGTGGAGAGCGCTTCTTCGCCTGTTGGGAACCAACAGCCACTGCAAAGCCAGTCCAGTGGCGGAGCTGGATGGAAAAGCTCATATACTGGCAAATCGTGGGCACCAATTCAAACAGCCCAGACGGGAGATAATGGTGCAGGCCACCGACGTTCTGGCAGCGAACTAGATGAAACAAATATCTCACAAAAAGATGACGAGGAAGAACAAGATATCTCACACAGAGGGGTCGGCTCTATTCGTGATCGATTTGCAAACGCCCCCCCAATGGGCGCTGCTGCCCCAGTATCTAGCTTTGAACGCTCCGCTCCGTCCCCTCCCCCGTTGGATACCACCAATAAACCAGATCCCCCTCGTGGTGTCCCGATTCCAGGTCTCCCATCGCGCCCTACAGAACCAGAACAACTCTACGAGGGTCAACCCGAACCCATTCCGAGTCCGCCTCCGCAGCCCCGTTCTCCAACGCCGCAATCTCCCACTTCCGTTCCAGGCTCACCCATTAGAGTTGCAATGCCCGTAGGTATGGGATCCGCAGCTGAGAAGATACCCGATGCACATGAAGAGCAGTTTTCCCCCCCAACCGCACTACCAGTCCGCTCCCTCGAAACGCAACTTCCCCGTGAAGATGACCTGGACGATGAACTTACACACAACGACGCTCGGGCCGTTGCCCAGAGCGGTGCAGCCGCGCTCCATCCGGAGTCGCCGGCGGCGACAAAATCCAGCGAATCAATCCGTGCACTTGTCATTTACGATTACGAAAAGGCAGAGGACAACGAGATTGATCTGGTTGAGGGCGAGTATGTCACTGAAATCGATATGGTTAGTGATGATTGGTGGATGGGTGTGAACGCGCGTGGCGACCGTGGTTTGTTCCCTCAAAACTATGTTGAGCTTGCATCGGCCCCGGACCAGCCGGCCCCCGCGTCAGGGTCCGGATATGGCTCTGGAGGAGATGCACAACCGGATACGACTTCAGGGGTTGCGCAGCCGGGTACAACTGGAAGGACAGCAACTGCGCAGTATGATTATGAGGCTGCCGAGGATAATGAGCTTGGTTTCCCTGAGGGTGCGAGGATCACCAATATTGTAAGCTTTTCTCCATTTTTCCTTCCAATCCCTTTCAAAAAAAAAAAAAAAAAAAAAAAAAAAAATTTGTTCTTTTTAAAAGACTTCCAGCTTATAAGCCCTATTACCCTCCTAAACCCACCACATGGATAATATATTTTGCTCTCAACAGGAATTCCCCGACGAAGACAGGGGCATGGTGAATACAACGGCCAACGTGGTCTTTTCCCATCTAATTATGTTGCACTGGATTGATTCCTGAAACCCCTTTTAAAAGCCCGGATAAGCTCAGAATGCCTCCTGTGACACAGTTTTACTTGCCTGCAAAACCAGCATTTAATGCTTCAATTTTGCCGTCAATTATATTGACATTTATTTTTTTTGCAGCTGATTTTATATTATGTTTTCCTTTCTCTCCTTGCATCCACTTGTGAAACCTTGACATTAGACTGGTAACTAACTCTTTAACATTTCCACCATCTTTGTGTGTTGCGGATGTGCAAAGTAACAAAATTTCAGTTTGTTTACCTAGTTAGTAAATCAATATTGTTCTCAGAATTAAAGTGAGGCAACCAGAATATCCTGGCATGAGTGTTTAAAAAAAAAAAAAATAAATAAATAAATAAAAATATATATATCATTTTATTGAGAGCTTTGTTGTAGTTATACAAAATACATAATCATACCAGTAATACTGGCTGCTAGCTTTCACCAGCAGAAAATCATTCAGCTTCCAATTTCCAATTTCACCTTCCTTACCCAAAAACCCACACCTAGCAAATCCAATTAAGCCCAGCGGCACAAACAATGATAATAAGTAACAAGATCAAGCTGGTGCCTAACAAAGTAATAACTCTGTTGACATTGATATGTATGTTATAACTCAACTAATCATTCATTCCCCCTCAGCCGCCTTCGCATAGAAGAATGTAGCTCCCACAGCCTCCAGTCCATACTCCTTCGCCCAATTCCGCACACCCAGCCTCACTCCGCCATAGCCCCAATGCTTCCGCTCTCTTGGGGCATTCACATTGCACGCAGTTGCCGCGTCACCCTCCAGCAGCACGAAAACATACCGGTGGTAACCGGTGCATATCAGGGGTGACGGGGGAAGGTAGGATTTCAGGATTTGCGCGGTGAGAGTGTATGACAAGGTTGTGCCAGTGAAGCTGTCTGAGTTCCTGCCAATGTGTCCTTGAAAACTAGAATACCCGGGGCTCGATATATTGCTCACGACCCAGTGACACACTTCGCTCCAGATGGGGTGTTTGCGGCTCTTTGCATCTGGATCGGTGAGAACTATGCTGTAGAATTTTGTGGGATGGTCAGGCTGGGGTGCCGGGGCTGGACTTGGAGATGGATCTGGATCTGGAGTGGATGGAAATGGGTGGAATTCGAAGACGGGCTGTGAGCGGACGGCATCTGGGGAAAGGTAGCTGCCTAAGCTTACGGTTGTGTGAGTTGATGGGTAGCTTATGAGCAGCGGAAATGTTGGAGTGAAGTCATCAAGAACTGTGTGCATTTTTGTGTTGGGTGGTAAGTATGCATAAGTTCCCACGCCTACTCAACTACTAGGAGGCGTTTTAGAATTCATGACGCGGAACTGACCGTCAGGAATTATGGAGGCCGCGAGTAGACTGAAAACCAAATTAAGTCGGTCAGACAATATCATTTGTTATATGTACGAGGTTCTTGATCTGATCAAACGAAGGTTAAGCCTACGCATCGCGGATGGGAGAGTATAATTTCGTTTCCCTCTCCTGGATAACTTGTTGCGACCAGCGATGGGAGGTCATTTCAATCGGAGCAACTAAAGTCATCACCAGGATAGATATCAATGATACGGCCCATTGTGTAGTAACTCGCAGGCTTTGCTTAATCTGGGCAGTGAGGAAGCGATTTCCAAATATAAACAGTATGAAGAATATATAGTGTACAGGTTGAACGAGATCAAATACATCGTCATTGGTGAGAGGAAGCGATGGGGTCTCATTCAAACTTTGAGCTCGTATCTTATTAACTACGAGAAAATTCCTGATACTCATATCGCCTCTAGAATTTGAAGCTCTGGGCATTTCCTAATCCGGTATCCTGATGTCATAGCTCAAAGTTGAGGCAAAGTGAAAAACTGACAATTCACGTGACTATGGCACCCTTCCAAGGTTTCGAATGTCTTGGCATTTGGAGCCTCAGTCTGATTGGATGCATCACGTGTTAACCCTCCTGATTGGGGCTTCCTGAGAAAATCCATGGATGATCTTGTAAACAACGTTGGAAGCCGGCAAAGAACTTGACGTTTTGCTTGTTGTCGCGTAACGGCGTATACTCTATTCCCTGCTTCAGTTTCTTGAAGACGACAATCTTCTACCTTTCTTTCAATTTTTTGCAGGCTATATCTGATTTACTTTTCATATTTCTCAATACCTCAAACTGGCGTCTCAGAACGCCCCTCCCCCTGGCTATCTTTAGCAGCCTCTGCAGTCCCGCAAAACGGTAATCTGAGGATAAGTCATCGGGTTCGGGCAAACATCTTTTGAATATGGCGTCTTTGGGCGATGATCTGTTGGTCACGGTCAACAAGCTCCAGGATTTGGTTTTCAACACTATTGGCAATGATTCCCTAGACTTGCCACAGATTGTATGCACCTTCTTGTCGCTTTCCTATTGCGTTGCTCAGGCTATGAAGAATGGCGTTTACTTATGTTTTTTGATACCCTAACTACGATTTTGTAGGTTGTTGTCGGTTCACAATCTTCGGGGAAATCTTCTGTGCTCGAAAACATTGTCGGAAGAGATTTTTTACCCAGGGGAAGCGGCATTGTTACCAGACGACCGCTAATACTCCAGCTGATTAATATCCCCAGCGAACGCGATGATCTCCCTGATAACAATGAAGTCCACGTCGCACATACAGCATCCAGTGTCGCCGGACAGAA